GCTTAAACTTTTTTTTTTAAGGTATTATAGTCATAATCATCTGTACCAAAGCGCACCAAATGCCACCCCGGAAATCTCTAGTTATTTTAAGTTAAATAGGTACAAGTACTATAACGAACAAGGGAAGGGAAAGGGAAACAAGGGAATTAATTTAGTTAGTTCGACCCCACAAAGAGGGCATTGTGGGAGTACATCACAAAGTGCAAGGGTACACCCTTATGTTATTCTGCCGCGCTAGAGTAAATCCAAAAATCCCCGCTTGGATTGGGTTTTTTTCAGTCATCCCTTATAGTAAATTGTCTTATACGTAAAACAGAGCGACCACAAATTACACAAACTTGCCCACCCCTTGGTGAAAACTTGATTTCAGTTCATACTAATTCACAAAATCGATAATTGTGTTCCAATGTCCAAAGCGTGTTAGTTAAAAATCAATCAAGTGACAGGGAGAGGGAGGGAGAGCGCACAATGACTACGAAGTAAAACCACTACCGTGATAAAACGAAGGACTGCATATTCGACTAGTTGCAACTGCAAGTCCTTCAACCTCTATACTCCTACCCCGTAAACCGTTTTGAGGTGTCTCAGGAAGTCCAAGCGCAGGATGGTCGCCAGGCTTTATCGTATATCTAGTTGTATAGCACGATATGGCACATTTGTATGATTACTAATAATATAAATTGAAGTTCCTATTAAATGAATTTATATAGCTACTTAAATATGTATGTACTACTAATACCTACTAACTACTATCTTCTTGAATATGCATTGTTTTATTTTATTCGAAAAAGGTACAGTGTTTTTTTAACAGCAATTATAACTAAATGTAAATCTAGACACCATTAACACGTTTTCGCATATGACTAACAATACAAAGCTCGTCGCTGAAACCATACACGCAATGCCAAGTGAAAAATACAGGAAAGTAATAAGACTAGAGATAACTGAGATATAACAGCAAGCGACGCTTAAAGCATGCATTAATTAAGCTAGGCAGTTTCAGAATCAGCAAACCAAGAACTGACTAAGATATTTTTAAGTATTTGTGGTTTAGTTATAAATAAGTCAAGTTGGGGGAAAGTTACTAGTTTGTTAATTTCTTTAGCAGACCTTACGAAAAAAGAGTTTTGTCTGTAATTAGTACCACATTGGGGAACATCTAAATGTACAAATCGCCTAACGGTTTTGTTAGGGATTTTTATACCTATTTTTGATAGTGCGTCCGGCGAGTCAATGAGACTTAGAGCGATTTTTGCCAGTAGAAATACATCTGCTATTTTTCTTCGCTCATTCAGGGGCAGGATGTGATGTCTACGACATCTTTCCTCGTAGCTAGAGTCATAAGTCCTACTTTTGTATTGTAAATACCTTAAGAATCTTCGCTGAACAGATTCAAGTCGGATAATGTGAGCGCTATAACAGGGGTTCCAAACTTGAGAACCGTACTCGAGGATACTTCGCACCAAAGAACAGTATAAAATTTTCAGCACTTTAATGTTTCTGAATTCTGAACAAACTCTAATCACAAACCCCAAGGATTTTCTAGCCTTTTTAGTTATAAGGTCTATATGTTTCTCATATGTTAATTTCGAATCATGTAAAATACCCAGATCTCGAATCTCATCAACTTCCGCCAGTTCACTCCCTTTAAAAACATATTTATTGCGGAATGGCTTCCGTTTACGAGTGAAGGTTATGAGGTTACATTTAGATATGTTCAGATCTAATTTATTTAAAGAACAATATAACTCAAACCTATTTAAATCTTCCTGGAGTAACTGGCAGTCTTTTTGACAATCGATTCTTTTAAACACTTTCATGTCATCTGCGTATAATAGAAATTTTGAAACAATAAAAAACATCGTTAATGAATATATTAAAAAGCAAAGGCCCAAGTAAAGATCCCTGGGGTACACCTGAGGGAACATGAGTCCAGGTAGAAGAGAAACCGTTCAGAACTGTCGCTTGGGAGCGATTTTTTATGTATGACGTAAACCATCTAAAGAGGCTACCATGGATTCCTGCGAGAAGGAGCTTACGAAGCAGAATTAAGTGGGCAATCCGGTCAAACGCTTTGCTAAAGTCGGTAAAAATTGCGTCAACTTGCCCTCCAGAGTCCATGTTAGTAGTAGTAAAGTCTACGAATGAGAGAAGATTGGAAGTAGTAGAGCGCCTTTTTAAAAATCCGTGTTGCTCGTTGATAAACCCCGACGACAAAGCATTATACACCTGATCGATCATAAACTATTCGTTCTAAAATTTTGGAAAAAATACAAAGCTTCGATATGGGTCTATAGTTCTTTACTTCATTTTTAGATCCACCTTTATGTATTGGAGTTATAAACGCGGATTTCCAAATGTGGGGTACAATCCCTTCTGAGATTGAACGTTTGAATAGAATAGCTAGTGGTTCCGTTAACTGATCAGCACATTTTACAATAAATAGTGGCACTATTCTATCCGGCCCTGCTCCTTTATGTAGATCAACGGATTTAAGTAATTTTAAGACTGATTCTGGATCAATCTGGACGCTACCAATATTATTAACAAAGTTTGAGTTATTAAAATCTGTTGAAGTAGAAGAAAACGGATTGTCGTATTGATTATCACTGGAGGACCGAGAAAGAAAAGTAGTTTGAAAGTATGACGAAAAGAGGTTGCAGATCCCCGCGCCAGTATTGGCTGACTTTTCCCCGTAGCATAATGATGACGGCACTGTATTAGAGCCACTATTCTTCGACCTTACAAACGACCAGAAGGTTTTTGGCTGCTTTATTATTGAATCCTCACAACGCCTGATGTAATCAAGATAGCAATATATATTGCAATCTTGCAGGAAGTAGTAGCTTCCTCCACTGAATTGTTATATAAGTAATGTTGCCACTTTATATTTTTCAAGTGCGAATTTATTGAGGAATAATCTGCTCTGTCGTAATAATATTTCAGCCTAGTTTTGGATTTTAATGGGTTAGCCTGGGTTAAATTTAATATAATAGTTAGAGACTTATGATGGTTGTATTCAGGTACTATGGGGTCGTTGCATGGCGTAACAGATACTTCCTTATTACATAACACGTAGTCTAATATTCTACTATTACAATTTCTGTTCGAATTAAATTGATTGATGTTACATTCACTAAGAATATCAAAAAAGTGTATCTGTGCTTCACCCGCAATGCCTTCCGGCTGTAGAAGTTCCAGCTCGCCACGCCAATCGACATTGCTAAGGTTAAAATCACCCATAATTAAAAATAGATCATTAGGACAGGATTCAAAAATACAAGAGAGATTTTCAGTAAAATTTTGCAGTTGTGTATTGAAGGAATTACCTAAATTTTCTTTACGGAGATATATAGTACATATATGTAATTTTATCTTATCTGTGTTACGATTTTTACTATTCAGTGTAACAGTAACCCATAAATCTTCTGCGGAAGAACGCCATTCAGGGCGTTCTACGGCTGCCAAGGTACGACGAATAGCTAGGAGTACGCCACCTCTGTATTTTTCGCGAGTTAGAGCGTAATTTCTGTCCCGTCTCCAGACAACTTATTGGTCATCGAATAACTCAGAACTGTATAAACCTTCCAAAAGCCAGGTTTCCGTTAGTGAGATAATGTCATAAGATGACATAAGCAACCCTCGTTTAAATATGTTTGTTTTGGTGCGAAGTCCTCGAGTGTTTTGGTAATAAACATTGATGTTTAAGGAAGCCATTTATAATAAAAATAAACATAAATCGATGGAATACCCCCGAATCAAATACCAATTACTTATGTGTATATACCCAAATAATGAATAAGAATAAGGACTCACAGCACTATAAATCACTTTAAATATCTTACATTTTGTAACTTTCGTAGTGAGTAAGGTACTTACTTAGGTTGATTAGATATAATAAAGTGTTGCAGTATAACAGTGTGTGGTGAGCAAAATTATATTTAAAACCTAAAATACATTTTATAAAGAAAGATAAAGTTTGTAATATAATTATAAGGTATCTTTTGGTAAAGTGTAAGGTAGGTGCACAACAATAAATACGCAATCGCATTATACGGTTAGCAAACAAGAACCTAAGCCCAAGCGGTTGTAAATAAGAATAGCAAGAAGCGCACACAATAATGAACTCTAACATCACAGGAAAGTGCACATACACAAACGAAAGCCGCCTAACATCGGTACTTACGTTAGTTATCGGCCCGCCAACTTGACTCGGACTCGGGAAACAGGTAATACGGTAAAAAAATTGTACGCTGGTTCTCAAATTCTTCACATTTGCAAAATAAAAAGATATGATTGCAGTTATAGAAAAATGTAAACAATTAATCACATAATGTTGCTGAGGTCGCTTTCGCATTTTATAAAAAATATCGGTGATGAATCTGACTTTCGTGCCATGATTTTAGAGTGTTTGACCCAGATATAACGGAAATCCTTTTCTTTAGCCAGGGACTTCGCCTTACTTAGGAGATTTTTATTTCGCAGTGTAAGATGATCTCCAACATAGAAGTTATCAGTGGCAGAAAATCCAAGTGCAGGTAGTTTGAGTTGTTTACTTTTTCGCGCCTTTGCCACTAGTTCTTCCTTGGTGTAGCGTTTACTAAAAGATACTATAATCGGTTTCTCTGTGTTAGGCGACCGAGTTGGTATTCTTGCTATATAATTTATATCTTCCCTTTTTATCGTAAAATCACATAGTATACCGATTTTTGTGGCTAGTTCGTACAAGTTTTCATTTTTCTTCTGTGGGATACCCCGGATCTCAACGTTATTTGCCCTGGCCCATTGATCTCTGTCATCAATTTCTCTTCTTAATCTGGCCACTTCTTCTTGAAGAGATGGAACCTCGTTCGCAGTCTTTTCGAACCCAGATAAGCGTACTTCAAGGGATGAAATTTTATTTGAGAAGTTGCTTATAAGTTCGTGCGCCATCTCCAAGGACTGCCGTAAACTGCCAATATCGGATTTGATATCCTCTTTAAGCGTCGCCAGTGGTGCCAGTTGCAGTAGAATCATGTTTAGTTGTTCCTGCATTTTTTCCAATTGCGCAGGCATAGGAGAGCTCGGAGCTGAGGGAGGCACAGGACTCCCTTCCCTCCGGACCTCGACACCGAGTGAACGTCTCTAAACCGCTGTTATTTATTTAGTAAACATATTATTCAAAAAATTAAATACAAAAATCAAGGCGTAAAATTAGGAGCGCATAAACCAAGAGAGCTTTCGTTAGCCGTCACGTGCGGCCATCGCCGCTACCACTACCACCGTCGCTGCCACTACCACCACCACCACCTCCAGACGTAAGCAGCCATTTTCATTCTCTCAATATAAGCTGTTTCGCGGGCGGAGTCACCGTTACCACCACTGCTGGTACCTACCTTTGAGGGGCTTGACCGTTCTGGATTGGACGGAGGTGTGGTGTTGAACAGCCCCGCCCCTTTCATTCATTACGAGTACCTACATAGTATTTTACTATCTTACATTTCTGAGCTCCTGGTACCAGTGCGGCGGATGGAGTAAACCGCATTTGTTTATTATTGGATTTTTTTATTTTTATTTGTTATTTTGAGAAGATGACCTTAAGACATTCACCTCCCCCTGCCCCCCTCGTGCCCGATGCGCCGGCGCCGCACTCGACTAGTACGGAAGCCAATGTGACCAATGTGCGTGATCGCAGTTGTACTGGGATGTCATTGGGAGTACAACACTATGACTCAGCCCCTGATTTACGGCTGATGTTGGATAACGCAACAGAAAGAAAAAAAAGGAAATTCGAAGATAAAGATTCTAGTGTATCAGAAATTATCAAGGAAATGTTTTCATCATTTACACAGGAACAGAAATTACGATTTAATCAACTTCAAGCTACAATCAATAGCCTTACGGAACAAAATAATGCATTGACGCACAGTGTTGATATGATGTCAAGCAAATATGACGCGTTTTTAGCTAAAATATCTGAAATGGAAACACAGAGAAAGGCAGATCAGAAACTTATTTGTTTGTTGGAAGATAAAGTAGAATATCTGGAACGGAAACAAAAGTCTACTGCAATTGAGATCCGAAATGTACCTAAAAAAACGGATGAAAGCAAAAATGACCTTTGTAAACTTGTGCAGAATATAGGAAACACCATAAGCGCTGAAATTGATAACTGTTACCTGAAAGATGTTTATAGGTTAAATTCTAATAAATCCTCAAATTCGAACTTGATAATTGTTGAATTTACATCTACACTAGTTAGGAATAACTTACTGGAAAAGTTGAAGACTTTCAATAAGGATAGGATCCCTGGTGAAAAACTTAATACTCGTCAACTTGACTGGCATGGTCCCTGCAAGCCAGTGTATATTTCCGAGGCACTCACCAACAAGGCTCAAAGACTGTTTTACCTGGCGAGGACATTTCAGAAACAAAACGGATATGCTTTTTGCTGGTCTTCACATGGAGTCGTGTACCTAAGGAAAGAAGAAAAGTCTCCACACATTAAACTAAATTCGGAAAGCGACATTGAAAATCTAAGAAAGTCTATCTGACTAAATTGGATAATGATAATATTTAACGTATTTACTGTTGATATTTCTATTTGTTATAGTGTCATTGAAATGCATGTTTTTGATTTATGTTATTGCATACAATTAGTTGTTAACTTTCTCACACTTTTTACACTTTTGGATACAAATTCACAATGGATTCTTACTTAATTCAAGAATGTTGCTCGCTGCGTTTATTAGTTTTTGGGTTTATAATTCAAAATTTTTGGATATTCCTCTTGTCCATTTTGACATTTGTAGATTGTAGTTGTGTTGCGACTTCTATTGTTATAAATTACTCTAAACAATTAACTGGATCAATCATATTTTACTTACAAAAGTAATGGACGTAATGACATTATCTAATGAAATTGATTTATATTCTAATAGCGAAAGTCGCGCATGTGATGTAGAGGAGTGCATAAAAATATTACCATCGGAACCTAATTTTTCAATTCTTATTTAAAACATAAGGAGTCTAAATTGTAATTTCGCTGGCTTTGAAGTATTAATGACTAGACTAGGTTTTTGTTGCGACATAATAATACTTACCGAATGTTGGATATCTTGTGTCTCTTGCATTCCTTCTATTGGTGCAACAAATCGTAATGTAAAGCAAAATGATGGAGTTGTGGCGTATATCAAACAGGAACTCACATTCTCTGTTGAAGAGCCGGAAATATTAGACTGTAATTCGCTTCTTATAAAAATTGGAATTAATGATACTGCAATACTAGCCATTTACCGATCTCCCTCATATACTAAGATAGAGCCATTTTTAACATCTCTCGATCAAATTTTAAAAAATATATCCGGCTTTAGGAAAATTGCTTTAATAAACTTAGATATTTTATCTGAGAATCCTGGCAGCTCTATAGAACAATATCTGGCTTTGACAGCATTCCACGGACTGTTACCTACACATACCCTAGTTACCCGGGATGCCAGTGAGAGTTGTTTGGATAACACTCTTCTAAAAGCAAAAATTCCATCAATGACTATTGTTGCTCAGTCAACCCTTACAGATCACAAGACTGTCATAATGTGTCTGAGATCGCAGTCTTAACGTCAATTTGCGGCTATAATATCTAGGATTATCTGGGATACGGAAGGTCTTACAAAATATATAAATGGAATAAATTTTACTCCTATTTACGAAACAAATGACTGTAATACACAAATGGATTATTTAATTAATAAAATCAAAACTGGCATTAACCTTAACTCTAAAACTATTTTATTATCGAGTCGTAAAAAGATTATTAAGCCATGGATTACGCCAGGCCTTCTCCGGTGTATCAGAAAAAGAGATAAGCTACATAAAAAATCTAAATCTTGTCCTGAAAACTTGATACTAAAAACAACCTATCTACGATATAGGAATTTCTGTAATATAATTTTAAAAAAGGCTAAAAGAAGTTATGAAAGTGAGCTTGTTCAACAGGCTGGAAATGATAGCAAGAAGTTATGGAATACTATTAAGGATATAACAAATACCTCTAAAGATACTTCTTTTCCAAAAAAACTACTTGATGTTGCAGACTACCCACAAAGTTCAGTAAATGATATTAATTCTTATTTTGTAGATGTAGGCAAAACTCTCGCAGAAAAAATTGTAACTACATCAGGTCTTTCTGAGAATGAAGTTATACCACAAAGTAGATTGGAACACCGTGATTCTTTTATTCTAAACGATACGTGTGAAATTGAAGTAAATAATCTAATTACAGCTCTTAAAAATGATTGCTCTTTTGGATGGGATGGTATATCAAACAGGCTACTCAAGGATCATAAAGATATACTAGTACCTCACCTGACATATATCTTTAATCAATGTTTTTCTAGCGGCATTTTTCCAAAATCTTTGAAGGTATCAAAAATTCATCCAATTTACGAAGGAGGAGGGGACAGAGCCTCTATCGGAAACTATCGGCCTATAGCAATTCTTCCAGCTATTTCCAAAATACTTGAAAAAATAATAAATAGTAGGTTGATTCAATATCTGGAAACAAAGCATTTGTTATCTGAGCATCAATATGGGTTTCGTCGTGGTAGATCGACAAATGATGCAGTTAACGATCTTACCAACTTTGTGACAGCAAATTTGGACAAAGGTTATAAATGTTTATCAGTATTTTTGGACTTAGCGAAGGCGTTTGATACGGTCTCGACCCCTCTCCTCTTAAGCAAGCTAGAAAAAATTGGAATTAGAAGCACGCAACTAGCACTTTTTGCCGATTACCTAAATGATAGAAGACAGTTTGTTAAGGTCGGTTCCTACAGCAGCACCCATCTCCCGATAACATATGGCGTGCCTCAAGGAAGTATCTTAGGTCCCACTCTCTTTCTCATTTATATAAATGGCTTGTTGTGTATTGAAAATTTTCAAGGAAAGATGATTTCGTATGCTGATGACACCGCACTTCTCTTCACGGCCAAGACCTGGAAGGAAACTTATAAATTTGCCCAAAACGGTTTAATACTGGTTAAGCAATGGCTCAGGAACAACGTATTAACTTTAAATGCCGTCAAAACTAAATATTTAGCTTTTTCTCTTCGCAATTACTCAGAAATACCACACCATCTTAAGTTAATAGCCCATGACTGTTCTAATTACCAATATAACTTGCAATGCCAATGCATGCAACTAGAGAAGGTTAATTCAATTAAGTATTTAGGCGTCATTATTGACGAACATTTTGGATTTAAGGAACACATAAATGCCTTAACAAAAAGGGTACGTTGACTCATGTACGTATTTAAGACCTTGAGACATGTGGTTACACCTAATGTACTTAAACAAATTTATTACGCTTTGTGTCAGTCCCTCCTCACATACTGTATAACATCCTGGGGAGGCGCACCAAAAACAACGCTTAAACAATTGGAGGTAGCGCAAACAGGTATTTTGAAAATATGTACTCATAAACCCTTCCTGTATCCGACCAAGTTACTTTATGAATACTGTGAGGTTCTGACAGTGCGGCAATTATTCCTTCTGCAAATTATTTTAAAGCAACAGTCTTTGCTGGAGTACCGTCCGGATCTTCTCAGGAATCGTAGATGGTTTGCTGTATGTGATCAATCCGTGAGGTCGATTACTACTTTTTCACGGAGATTCCTTCCCTTTTTGGGTCCACTTGTTTACAACAAAATAAACAAAGAAATAAATATCTATCCATTAAATAGGTTATTGATCAAAAAATCAGTATCATCCTTTCTTATGACAAAATCATATGAAGAGACAGAGGAGCTTATTTCTATACAACGATAATATAATTTTAACTTGGCACATGTTATTAAGTTTATATTGAATTGTAATTTAAGAATAAAATTTTTGTCATCGTTAAGAATCCATTGGACCTTTTCATGCATACTTTACACATCCTCTCACATACATCCATTCACTCGCACATTACACACAGAGAGGTCATTCACTTACACAATTTTTATTTTAACAGTTTTATAATAGTATTACAAGAAACTTACTTCACTAGCTTATAGGATACAAATAATTGTCTAAACCTGAGGATTGAGGCACTCTGTATGCTGAAATACAGGATGAAAATCCTAGTTCGGCAGCAGACGCTAAAGATTGTCTTTTATATTCTTAAGGTCATATATGGTGTCCATAGTTTATAAGACGTAATGTTACTTATATGCTGGTCTAAATAAATATTATTATTATTATTACTAGCCTTGCACTTGGGACAACGCCAGGTATTCTTCGTATCACCCAGTTTCCTGAATCCACTCTCTGTTACACCAGCACAGGCATAGTCGAATTGGTTCTTACAGGAACTACAGATTGTGTCATATCTTTCGATTACCGGGATATTTTTTTACGGTGTCATAATAAAAAATTCATACTAATTACATTGTTGGCGAAGCTGGGTGTTATTTGCCCATTGTACTTTATTTGAGACGATGGCTTAATCAATCTCGGAGTCGATTCTATTTAAATGAAACCCACTAATTATGGTAAATAGTTAGATACTTTTTATTTAATCCTTCGAAAAGTTCTCTAGGGCTATATATTTAAATACACAGCATTACTAGAATAATATGAGTATTAATTCAGTATGCAATTATATCCATAATACGACTGGCCTGAATTGAAAAATCGATTCATCTGAAATCCCACTTATGGCCCGTAATCGCTATAGACTGGGGAAATTGGATGAAGAGATTGACTTCACGTTGGAGGCGGGCTATGTATCTACCGGAGCTTGCTACGCCGTGCGACCTGACATGTGCTACATCGTAGTCAGTCCGTAGTGTATAAACGTTTTTGATTTTGGTACGAGATTAATGTTTTTTGAAAGAGGCACTTTATTTATTTGAAATCTTTTTAAAGCATTATTCTCTTTACACGTCCATAACCACATTTTTTTTAATCTCTTCATAAAAATGAAATAATAATTTTATACCGTATAATATTGAAAAACTGAAAATGTTCTGTCATTTATGGCATTTTTAGTATTTGGGATCGGTGTCAAGAACTGAAAAATCTGTCTGAAATGAAAAATACGTAAAATTAAGACTCTGAAGGTTTTTTTACTCTGTGATAATAAATAATGTTTTGCGGTCGACTAGGGTTATATTAAAAGTATTTATGCCTAAAGGACATAGATAGATACAATAAGTTCGGACATTGATTTAAATGTGTTGAAATTGAAAGCCTGTTTCGAATGTGTGATTTAAGATTAATGGTCACATCCCGGCTCTCTGAAACGTTATTATCAACACACACCTATCCGGAATTAATCCATATAAAACCCATCTATCTAGATTCTGGACTAAGGTTACTTGGGATTCCAGCAAAGCTTAGAACATATTCATTCTGATAATAGTTTTCTAATAATACTACAAAAACATTGATTACCAATAGAGTAGATACAGTAGATAGGATATGCGAACCTTTCGTGAACAATAGGGTAGTTTTATCAGTGGATACATATATGGTTCTGTTGACCTCGCGTCCCTTCTACCGACAGGGTAAA